TTTGTTAAACTGAATTCCTTCAACCAGGTTGACCGCCTTTGTCATGAGGTCTTTTGGTCTGGCGAAGCGTTTCATCTTCATTGATCCGAATGTCCTTCAGAGTGCAAAGGATTGGCTAATAAGCCAGCAGGGTTCAAACGGTTGTCTCGTGCAACAGGGAACTTTGTACCACAATGACATGAAGGTAATTGTGTTGTCAAATATACCTTAACCATAAACCAGTCAAGATTATTTTTAATCTATGTGCTGGTGTTTTAGGGTGGAGTTGGTGATAACGTGACCATGACTGCCTACGTTGTTGCATCGCTGCTTGAACTAGGAGTTCCTGCCACAGTAAAAATCTCTCCAGTAGTTTTATGAGCTCCTTGCAAATGGTCTTCTGGCTGTTGTCTGATATCTGCTTTGCTTTCAGGATCCTGTCATTACCAACGCTCTGGCATGCTTGAGGCCCGTTGTTGGGAACCTGGGAAACACTTACACCACAGCTCTGCTGACCTACACCTTCAGTCTGGCTGGAGAGACCACCACTCGATCACAGCTTCTAACAACCTTGAACAACCTTGCCATTTCTGAAGGTAAGATACATCAGCCTCTTGTTTGTGTAAGTTCTTCGTCCTCAACTTTCTCTCATCCTAAGGCACGAAGCTCCATTGGTCTCAGACGACATCTGGTGATACTCTGGCGGTGGAGATCAGCTCTTACGTCCTGCTAGCGGTTCTCGCTGTTCAACCCCTCACAACGGCTGATCTGGGCTATGCTAACCGCATTGTCAACTGGCTCGTGACCCAGCAGAATCCCTATGGAGGCTTCTCCTCCACCCAGGTGCCTCTGACTACCAAACATGTGTGCAATAAATTATGAGAAGTTTTTAATCTTGTGCTTGTTTTTAGGACACAGTGGTGGCTCTTCAGGCTCTGTCTGTGTACGCTGCTCAAGTGTTCAGCTTGGACGGCACCAGCACTGTAACCATACAGTCCTCAGTAGTAGGAGGAGACTCTTATAGCTTCAATGTGAACCGGGACAACCGTCTGCTGTATCAGGAGAAGCAGCTGAAGAACGTTCCTGGAAAATATAGTGTTAAAGCATCAGGATCCACTTGTTTGTCTGTGCAGGTATGAGTCTTAACCCCCTCTATTTCTGTTCTTTTGTGTGCATCAATCTGATTAGACTTGTCTGCCTTGCGCTCATACTGTAGGTTGCGTGTTTCTACAACATCCCGACCCCCGTTAAAGACTCCAAGACACTGACTGTTGAAGCAAAGGTGACTGGAGACTGCCGACCTCTTGGTGCCAATCTTATGTTGAACTTCACGGTGAAGTAAGAACCGTTTTGGCTTTGTGTCCTGAAATCAGCTCTTGTTTGACTTCTTGAAGGATCCAGCATTGATTCTTTTGACCTAAATTTCTTTATTCCACATCACGTCATTCAGATACAACGGTGTAAAAGCTAGCACTAACATGGTTCTAGTTGACATTAAGCTCCTGTCGGGCTTCACAGCAGATACATCACCGGTTCGTAGGTTTAAGATTTAGTAAGTCCTAAGATGCTTGAAGCTCCTTCTGCTGTAACTGTTTGTAAATAATCTCTTTCCCCCAGCTGGGATCTCCACCTCAGTCATTTGCCCCGCTAGTGGAACGGGTTGATGCTGAAGATGATCGTGTCCTAGTATATCTGAAAGAAGTAAGACCGTACACTTGGTATATTCACTAGCTGCCATTTTTCTCATTCATCCATTCTGTCTCACAGGTTCCCAAAGGCGTCCCCATGAGTTACACTCTGCAGCTGAAACAGGTTTTTGCAGTGAAGAATATCAAGCCAGCAGTCATCAACGTTTATGACTACTATCAGACAAGTACTTTCATCCTAATCATTAAATGACCTGGCTGAATTCACTATTGAACATAATCCGATTAATTGCATGTTCCTTTTTCAGGTGATTCGTTTGAGACGACCTACACGTCTCCTTGTCAGTGACTTTGTCTCCTTGTCCGTGACTTTATTCAGTACTGGCTGTAAGATGTTTGCTTAATAAAACTGCTTTCATACAATCAGTTCTTTTGTTCCTCATCTGTGAAGATTTGAAGCAGGTTTATCTTCAGTGTTAATGAATTTTTGTCCTGTAACTTCAAATCCTTTCTTGGGCAGTGGCTTGTTGAAAGTTCGACCTTACACTGCAATTTTTTTATTTTTAAAACGTGCCATGGTTGGACTGTTTGTTTAATCAACTATTTTATGGAGGCATTTAGTTAGACAAATATCCAATGTAGTAATAAACCAAAAAGCAAATGGACAAAACTAGAATAGTTCAGTCATTCAGTGCTGTTGAATTGTGACTATATTAATAGTTGCTGTGGCGTACATGATGCCAATACTAGACTGATTAGCACAATAGAATGTACTGATTGTGCTAATCTGTGTTGGTTAAGTTACTTGAAAATAGTAATTAGTTACTGACTACTTTTCCAAGAAAGTAATCTAGTTACTTTACTGTTTACTTATTTTCAAAAGTAATTGGTTACTTTAAGTTACTTTTCAAAAACATGTTGCACGACCTGAATACGCTAAAGCAACAGACCTTTCAGCCTAATTCTTTTATTCCTGCATATTCCACGTCCATCTAAAATGTAATCGAATTAAATTCTCCTTTTTTAAACTTGTTTGATCAGTTTTTCAATATTTTAACTTCATGCACATTGCATCAAGCGAATTTAATTAACTGCCTTAACACTTTAAAGAGAGACATGAATCCAACATTAATTCCAACATTTAACTCCATTGTTTTTCATCAACATCTAGTTTATCATCCACTTCTACTCTTCCAGTCAAATGCATTATACACTTTCATGTACACTTCTTTTCTTCTCTTGAGTTGTGTTGGTTCTTAGAAGTCAGTAAAGAGAGAGATCTTTCTTTTTCACTTTTACTTATTGTATTTGCTTCATGTATTTATTAATTAAACTCTTTACTCATTTTATCAATTTCATCGTCCTTTTTTCCTACTGATTCTGTTTGAATCAAGAATACTTATTTCTGGAAGCCATGAAGCATTGTTTGCTTATTGCACTTTTGACTTCATGTTTTAAATGTCTAACACGCTTGTAAATGCCCAATTAATATTTATATTTCACCCACACATGACTGAGATGGTCTACATTATCAAAAGTTTCACCCTTGATATCCAATAATCATACATTTCACAGAAGTTGTTCTATTCAGTTCGATGTTTCACTCACACCATGAGGCTTCAAGAAGTCAGAATAATTACTATGAACTTTAAAGAACACAGTTTTTACCGAATTATTACTGCCTCTATCTCACCACAGCTTTAACTAGCAGAAAGAGAGAAACTGGAATAAAGAGAAGCGGAATGTAATCCCTGTTGTTACTTTTGTGTGATTATGTTGATATCTACAGATGTTTTGTCGTTATGAACATGATTTGGCATGTCTTATTTATTGAAATTTTAATAATGCCATGAACCAGAACAATACAATGAGAAATAATCATTCAAAAAAAAAAAAAAAACACACAAAGAGATTAAAAAGTAAAAAATAAAATAAAACTGCCAGAGGACAATAATGTTCTTATAGCAAACAAAAGAAAAAGAACAATTCATTCAGACCTGAGTGCTTTTGTGTTTGTGTAATTGTTTCGATGTTTGGAGTGAGAACTGTTACTGAATGCCAAGTCAAAGTTTGAGATCTGTGAAGGGAATTGATCTGTGTTGCCATTTTTATTTTTACCTTAATCTCTGATGTCATTTATCTTTGGGAGATCACAATGTTTAAATTGAAATGTATTGAACAAATACCTCTAAATATTTCATATTAACCCTTTAATGAGAACTGATCTAATAATGATCTAATTCTATTGCAATTAATGCAGTTATGAGAGAATCAAACAAAGTTTAGAATCATATGGACATATAATGGTGTAGTTATTTACTGTCATTCATGTTTTTGTATTATTGAGGTTTTATCCATCCCACATTGTGAGCAATAACAGTGTTGTCTTTCAATATAGCAGTTTTACAGGCTTTTATATTTTATCTGATTCAAATAATATGTTTCTAACAGCAAACACTCAGAATAAAGTGAGATGGATCTGCTGATGATCCTGAATGGCTTGTTGAGTGAGTGTTGATAGTCTGAGGCTCATCGAGATTAACAGACCTGCTAAAAACACTCTTTACTTCATGACAATAGATCCAGTTTTCACCTAATTTATTATGCTGATGTCTTCACATGTCCTGTAAATGGCCAGTTGAAGCTAATCTAAGAGCCCCTAAAGGGAGATGGTGGAAAATATTTGGGAGGGAAAAAGTAAAACTTTTGCATTCCCTCTCAAAACTTTTACGTTCCTTCGCAAAACGTATTGCGAGCTCGGACAAAGACGTCATGTTTAATGTCCCGCTGGAAATGTTTCAGTGATCTGTATGTCAACATTTATGGAGTTCGGTTAAGTTGGCAATATATTCATATATCTGAAGTTCCCAGATCAATAACTCTTGAGCTAAATTTTGTTCAAACACAAATGCCAGCTATTTCCAAATTATCTCTATTAGCAGTGGAGAGACACATCCTTTAATGTTAAAAACTGTTATGTCACCAAATTCAGTTTACACATCAATGGTTTCCTATGGTCATGTGCTTTTGCATATTTTATACCATTATTCCATGACTCTGTAACACACCAATAGTTCACACAATACTTACGGCTGCTTTTTCAGCCCTTAGTCTCATGTTCACCGCTTTACATGTATTGAACGACCGCTACACAACTCAATATTTGAATGAAGAAGGATAATACTTTTAGGGTTATGACTTGAGCGAGCATCAGTTAATTGATAGACAGATATACATGATTTTATTGTCCTTTTGTATAAAAACAAACTCACTGTGTTTGGCAGATCAGCTCCTCCCACATCAATTCATCATCAGTGAAGCTCCTCCCACAGCAGTTACATGGTCAGTGAAGCTCCTCCCACATAAATGCTGGAATTCCCCTCAGCTACAAGTGAAGACAGCATCAGAAAGAGCTGAAATCTATTAAAGAGGACAGTGAGAACATGAGTGATCCAAAACCCTGCAGAATGAAACACACTGAAGAACAAAGAGGTTGGTGTTTATTTATTCATTCATTCATGATGCTGAAGAACATTCATGTTAGAAACATTCAAGCACTTCATCACATAATGCAGTTAAGGCGAGACACGGCAGACAAAAACATCGATTTTTAATGCAGTGATCAGTTTTGAGAATTTGGGCTAACTTAATTTACTCCTTTAGTGTTCTTTCACGCTGCAAAACGTCGAAAATATTAAATTAAATTTTTGTTTTATTACATTTAGTTTACCTGCGACAGTAAATTTCTCCCGAATTTACCAAGAAGTTAGCATTCCAGCGCGTCATCCCGCGCTCCGTCTGTTTACTGAAGTCAGTCAAGACGAACGGTTAAGCTCTGATTCTCGTGCACAACGGTGTGTAGCCCAAATATGGGCATTTCCTTTCTATCAGTAACCAATCGTGAATATCCAAAGGGTGGTCTAATGAGGAAACCTCATTGGCTACTGCTGGTTTCTGCTAACGTGATTCGCTCAGACGCATATAAATAAAATGCAATATAAATGTATTAAATTCCCTACTTAAATCCTTAAATGCCTTTTTCTCAACATATTTTTTTTTTTTATCATTCTCCAATAGAAATATCTCAGCCTTTGTAGCACCTAAGTACAATAAAATACTTGGCGAAAATCTTTTTTTTTTTTTTTTTTTTAAATTAAGGGTATGGACAGTATATTTTGATTTCCAAGGTAATGAAAGCATATATCCTGTAATCCCTCTGAACTTTTTTTTTTTTTCATCTTGTGTGTAAACAAAATGAAAAAGAATTTTGCACCTGGCTTTATCACATGTTCAGATCTATCTACCGAAAATAAATGTAAAATTGTGCATATTTAATGAGATAATTGCATAATTAAACATACAAATGTCAAGATTTTCAACAAATGGTCGGTAAAGGGAGGAGAAACTTTCATATTGATTGTGAACATCAGATCAAACTAAAAATCTGGTCAAATTAGCTCCTTTCTTTTACTCTTAGGCTATGGTTTGACTTTTCTTTTGTTGTTTTGTAATCCCAATTCACCCCTTGGCCCTACACCTCCATTTTGAGCGTTCACCCTACCTACGGGGTAGGGTGTACAGATGCTTGTTGAGATTGAGGGGTAGGGCGAAAGGGTAGGGTTACATAGCCCTCAAAACAGAGATTTTTCAGAGACACACTAAAGAGAAAGTTCACAGAATGCATCGCAAATCACCGGTGAGATGGCTTCACAAACAGTTAAAGAATTCAATTTAGCGCCAGATGATTCCACCACGCACTTTATTTACTCTTATAATAACACAGTTGTTTAAATTAAGAAATGGTATAATAAATTACCTTTCCGACCAGAAAAGACATAAATTTCGAGGAAGGGATGTTATAATCATCATGTTTATTCAAAGTTAAGAGCAGCTGCGCTGATTGTCAGTTGTTGTCATGGAGAAATTCCTGTAAAAACTCGGTAACGGCAGAGCCATCGCCGACGACTGATGACGTTTCAGGTTCATGAAGGGTTGTTCCATTTCGTAGGGGAATATTTCAACCCCTTGGCCCTTGTAACTCTGTTTTAAGGGCCAAGGGGTACACTCGAAAACAAGGGGTAGGGCCAAGGGGTGAATTGGGATTAAGCCTAGTCTCATTATTTGATACATTGAGTATCTTTACCCCTTTTAAAGAAGGGTGTGAAATAAAAACTGATGGTTTAATTTAAAATGTGCTACAACTTCATGATTTCTTATATTCTGTGTCTGCTCTCTTCCCCTTGGTAAACGGTTTGCATGTATGTATAGTCTAGTTAATAAAGTCTTGTTTATATCACACGTAAAGTTGTCCGTGTCTCAAGCTCATATCCGGAGTCACTAATCATACCGATTTTGACTTCTTGCTCTTAGTAGTATTTAGTAGAAAAGACGTTTCCTATGCCACGGAAATGTACATTTCTATTAATCAATTAATAACCAATACTGAGGGTTCACAGGATGAACTGAGTAATCGGGTGTAATGTTAATGTAGCTAGCTCAATTTAATCCAACGAACTGATCCAAATATTCATCATAAATTATAACAAGTTATGATTAGTTATTAATATTTCATAGAGCTTATTTGTAATTTCGATGTACTGTCAATGAAATTACACTTTTTTTTCCCCATTCATTTCAGACCCGATGGAAGAGAACGAGGAGAGTGAAGAGGAGGAGGAGAGTGAAGACCTGAGTGAAGAACCGAGTGAAGAGGAGGAGGAACATCACGTCAAACCTGGAGAAAAACCTTTGAGGCGCTCAAAGACTAAAGATACATTTTTAAAGAAAAGCCAAGAAATCTTTTACCTGTACTCAGTGTGGAAAGAGTTTCACAAGCAAACCATATTTTAAACTTCACATGAGAGTTCACACCGGAGAGACGCCGTTCACATGTGATCAGTGCGGAAAGAGTTTCTCACAGAAACAAACTCTTAAACTTCACATGAGAGTTCACACCGGAGAGACGCCGTTCACATGTGATCAGTGCGGAAAGAGTTTCTCACAGAAACAAACTCTTGAGCTTCACATGAGAGTTCACTCTGGCGAAAAGCCGTTCTCGTGTGATCAGTGTGAAAAGAGATTCTCACAAAAACCACATCTGATCGAACACAAGAAGATCCACACTGGAGAGAAGCCGTTCTCGTGTGATCAGTGTGGAAAGAGATTCTCACACAAACAAACTGTCAAAGGTCACATGAGAGTGCACACCGGAGAAAAGCCTTTCCCATGTGATCAGTGTGACAAGAGCTTCTCACACAAACAAAATCTCAAAATTCACATGAGCGTTCACACCAGAGATAAGCCTTTCGCATGTGATCAGTGTGACAAGAGCTTCTCAAACAAACAAAATCTCAAAAGTCACATGAGAGTTCACACCGGAGAAAAGCCATTCACATGTGGTCAATGTGGGAAGAGTTTCACACACAAAAGCAGTCTTAAGTGTCACATCAGGGTCCACACCGGAGAGAAGCCGTTCTCATGTGATCAGTGTGGGAAAACATTTCCTAGGGCATCACAACTGAAGGTACACCTGACAGTTCATATGAAGGAGAAGCCGTATTCATGTTCTGTGTGTGGAAAGAGTTTTTATCAGCACCACATGTTGCTTAACCATGAAAAAATACACACTGGTGTGAGAGAGTACATGTGCTTTGAGTGTGAGAAGACTTTTATGACAGCGCGCTGTTTAAAAAAGCATCAGCGGATTCACACTGGAGAAAAACCTTACAAGTGTTCACACTGCGACAAGAGATTCACTGTGTCAGAAAATCTGAAAACACATGAGAGGATCCACACTGGAGAAAAACCTTACAAGTGTTCACACTGCGACAAGAGATTCACTGTGTCAGAAAATCTGAAAACACATGAGAGGATCCACACTGGAGAAAAACCTTACAAGTGTTCACACTGCGGCAAGAGATTCAGTCATTTAACAAGTGTGAAAACACACGAGAGGATCCACACTGGAGAAAAACCTTACAAGTGTTCACACTGTGGCAAGAAATTCGGTCATCCAACATGTCTGAAAAGACATGTGAGGATTCACACAAGAGAGAAACCGCACACATGTAAGACTTGATTTTCCTGCTGAGCTGAGATGAAACTCACCCTGCAATTAAGTAAATAAAATAAACCCTGGACAGAAGATCTCAAAGGAGAAGAACATGACCGTGACCTGTCCAAACTTTTCTCCAACATTGGGCAAGTTGTACAAGTCTGAGTATGTAGGGGTAAGTGGAAGAGCAGTCTTCAGGAAATCCCCAATGCAGTGTGTGTCAGTGTTTTCTCACACACCACTGTGTATCTCTGTCAGGAATGCATTTCTTACTCTTGGAGTCATCTTTGTCATGTATTTAGTATTTCTGAATTGGCTTTTAATCATTTACTTGTGTAATTGGGATGATACAATTTTACCTGACAAATAAAATGATATATTTGAATCATTCTGCATTTTTCTGGAATCATTATTCCTAGCACACTGTTAGACCTCACCAGGTTTTTTTTTTTTTTTTCCAAAGTAAAATAATGGCAACACTGTTGCCAGTAATTTAAAGGGTTAGTTCACCCAAAAATGAAAATTAAGTCATTAATTACTCACCCCCATGCTGTACCAACCCCGTAAGACCTTCGTTCGTCTTCGGAACACAAATGAAGATATTTTTGATTAAATTTGAGAGCTGTATAACTACCACATTGGCTCCTAAGGGACTGCCTCTTGACGGCCCAAAAAGTCAATGAAGAAAGTGTTTAAATATCCCAAGTGACTACCGTGGCTCAACTATATGTTTATCAAGCGACGCGAATACTTTTTGTGCGAAAAAACAAACAAAAATAACGAGTTTATTAGATTATTTCTTTTCTTCCTTGTAGGCCAGAACGAGACTTCCTTATAGATTTCCACGACGCATGCGCGAGAATTGCGATCTGAAGTAGTGTAAGCTGGTGTAAGCAGATCGCAAATCTCGCGCATGCGTCGTGGAAATCTAAGGAATTCTCGTTCTGGCCTACAAGGAAGAAAAGAAATAGTCGAATAAACTCGTTATTTTTGTTTGTTTTTTTGCACAAAAAGTATTCGCGTCGCTTGATAAACATATAGTTGAGCCACGGTAGTCACTTGGGATATTTAAACACTTTCTTCATTGACTTTCTGGGCCGTCAAGAGGCAGTCCCTTAGGAGCCAATGTGGTAGTTATACAGCTCTCAAATTTAATCAAAAATATCTTCATTTGTGTTCCGAAGACGAACGAAGGTCTTACGGGGTTGGTACAGCATGGGGGTGAGTAATTAATGACTTAATTTTCATTTTTGGGTGAACTAACCCTTTAAGGTTAATTATACTACACTGTAAAAAAATATTGTTGGTTTAACTTAAAAAGTAAGTAACCTGGTTGACTTAAAAATTTAAGTTGATTGAACTGGAAAAAGTGAGTTAATGCAATGAAGGAGATTAATTGAATCATCAGAAAGTCAAAATAATAAGTTATCTCAACTAAATAAATAATTTAAGTTGATTTGACAAAAGAAAAAATGTTGTGATAACAAATCTTGAAAAAAAATTTTTTAGTTATTTACTGCAATCTACAGTATGTTACTGTACTAATGCACTAAATTAAAACTCAACTTGTTTCATTGGCAGAAATGGACTGCCTTAAATTGAACAACTGTCATTATAAATGTATTAACTAAAATATATAATGTATTAATAATGTGAGCAAAGTATTACTGTGAACTTGTTTAATTTGAGACCACTTGAACATAAAGAGATTTCCACTGGACCAGAAACTACACATGCACTGCTTGTTAAATAAAGCAACATGCAGCATATCATCAATGTTTTTAGATCTTCTCCTGGACTGAAGAACTGGACTTCATTCAAATTGAGCTGTTTGTGTGGTTACAACACCCTGTTTCCGAAAGGTTGTTGGAGTTTAAGGTTTTTTTTTATATTTCCATCAGGATAAACTCAGGATTAAACACAAATTATGATCATCATCCCAAGCATAGACCCTAGACATGCTGCGCGAGTGTTATTTCAAGTTTGAATAATAAGCCTGAGTGTTATTTATTTGTGGAGACCGTTTTCAAAATTTTTTAGACAGTCATCCCCATAGACAGGTCATTCCAGTTGCATAGCTCGCCGATGCTAGGCTAGCGCGAAACAACTGTAACTGCTAGCCTGCCATTAAAAACATTTTACCCACCCCAGTACACCAAAAGCAAATAAATTATAACGCCAGACTATTGATGTAAATGTCTGTTGAGAGAATAATGTTAGAAATCAAAACTACTCTTTCATTGCAATCGTTTTTTTTTTTTTTTTTTTTTTTTTTTTGTTATGTTTAGTTAAATAGTTAATTAATTAGCACAGGCTACAGCAGCAATGGACTGATATCAGAGAATGTCTAATTGAAGAGAATTGGCACTGGCTGGTTACTTCCGGGTTCTGGACTGGCTGCAGTAACACGTCTCTGTCCATGCGGGGGCGCTCGCGGTCGAGTGCAGAATGAATGGGAGTCAATGGGGTTTCACCCCCATAAATCCACTTTTCTCAGGTTGTAATTTTTTGTCAAGTAATTTGAGAGTTGCATTCAAAGAGGAGGGCTAAGATAATACACTCAGCTGAAAATTGCATTTTTAAGTTCACTTATCTGTTCTAAAAATCAGTTCAAAGCTGTGATGACGTCACGCAATAGCAGAATGCTAGCGTGTTCAGGCCAACAACGGCCTAACCTGTAAGAAATCAAAAGGACATAAGTACTCGTTCATTCGACTTTTGGCCTATAATCTATATTGAACTTGCCGAATCAACAATAAAATCTATGTTAATTTAACGACAAGCAGGTGAAAGAGACACTTTTAGCTGTTTAGCCCCATAGACTCCCATTCATTCTGTGCTCGCCCGCGATCACCTCCAGTGGAATTCTAATGGAACTGCAACCAACTACAACACGAGTAAAAAGTGTTAAAAACAAAAATTGAACACGGAGGACGCGCGAGTCCCACGGTTATGTTGAGGGGTTTAAATAAAGAGGTTTGAGTGATTAATTAACACTATCTGACCTGACGAAAATTAATTTATTCAATGTTCTCCACATTATATTGCATCTGCAGCAGCATTGTGAACTTTTGTAAGGATACGTTTAGCCATTACTTTTTAAACGCATCATTATATTCAATTTGCAAAACATGAGGAAAGTATACACATGAAAGACCCATGACCGGCAGATTAGCATGCTCTAATACGGTAGGAAATCAAATTAGACTGAATGGAGGATTTTAACTGTGACGAGATGATTGACAGGGCAGTTTATGGTGACAGGATGATGCACGCAGCACGCGACAGAGCCGTCCGTTAAAGATGACGTGATAGTATGCCCCAAAGCTTCCCTACTTTTTTTGCTACACACTCAAAAGTATGTACTTTTTCTTCACAAAAAGAGTACATACTTTTAGGGCATAGTATAATTAAGCGAATTGGGACGCAATGAGTGTTTATTTTTCGGCGCAGTACTACTAAAGCCTGTTTTATGCTTCTGCGTCAAATCGACGGCGTACCCCCGCAGACGCGAACCCCTCTCTGACCCCTCCGACGTAGCTCTACGTGCACCTCCAAAAATGTTTAACTCGTCGAGGCGACTGCTCAGATTTCAGGAGTGTAGCTTTTCCGGTTTCCCCCTCCCGCTATAGCGACATTTGTAACATTTGCGCCTCTTACTGATAATTATAATACACTTATAAAGAAGAAAGTAAATAAAGAATTAAACTAAAAATAAACTGTATTGTTTTTTATGTCATTGTTATGTCTATATTCTTTTCTTTCTTTTTTGCTCGCAATAAAATTCAATCAATCAATACATCAATGTTTGTTTTGAAACACAGTTTGTTGTTTATTTACAATACAATGTTCACGGTTACATCATTGATAATCACCAAAACAAAGAGATTCGCGAACCCCCCCCCCCCCCCCCATAGCTAGCATTCTGGCGGTGAAATGCACCGCGATGCAACACAACCTGGCGTAGAAGCATAAAACGGCCATGGCGCCGGTGTAGCTACGCCGTGGAGTTGACGCATAAGCATAAAGAGGCCTTAACCAGAGCAAAGTAAAACTCTGCCGCTGCTGAGAAACTAGTTCCTTTGAGATCATTGAGATGCAAGAGTAGTTTGATTTTTAACATTATTCTCTTAAAAGACATGTACATCGATAGTCTGGCGTCATAAATTATTTGGTGTACTGTGGAGTGGATAAAACTTTTTTTATGGCAGGCTAGCAGTTACCGTTGACTCACACTAGCCTAGCACCAGTGAACTATGCAACTGGAATGGTTTTTTTAAAACTGTCTCCACTCATAAATAACACTAAGGGTAACTTGGAAATGAGGCCCGATGTCCAAAATCCTGAACCTTAAGCTGTGGTCAGCAGGCGAAAAAATTAGTAGGGCCAACATAAAGAAACCGCAACTAAACAAAGCATAGTATGCCTATAGGCAAAACATAAAATATTGTCAAAATAAGGATCCACATATATAATACCAGATCATAAACCTACATTTAATTTTAACTTTGAGCTCTACTTTACAAGGCTAAGCTGATGCATAACAAAGATCAATCGTGTGATGCAGACGAGCGTGTGTTTCAGAGTTGGCAACCCTGTGATTAATTACCGGGCTCCGCCCTAAAGACGTCCTGATTGCCTGAGAGTGATGAATCAACCTGTTCTGAATTATTAAGAGCATTTAAATAACACTGGCATCAGTGCAGCTGATTTAGAGTTAAGCTGTAGAACAGTGTGGATGTGCAGGGTTTGTGAAAGAGACTCTTGATTTCTGTCTAGTCTTGGATGATTGCTCTTCATGGCTGTGAGGGAGATTTGTGTTTGGAGAGGGCTCATTTTAGCCCTTTTCCTCTTTGCTGTTGATGGACAGAAAAGGCCGTAAGTGTGATGGGCTTGAAGTGAAAAGTTGTCTAATGTCTAATCTTTGCAGAATGATGCAGTTTTAAAGATGGAAGAATGAAGCACCAAAGCATAAACCATTTGGTAAAAGTTCATCACTTAGTAGTTTTTCTCATCAAGTGGTCGAAGGATGAGTGGGACCCAACTGCTGTTCATTAACACTCGTCCTTTGTCTTTTAAATACAAGTCACTGAGTTCTTGTGCTGTTGGGGTTATTGTTCCTCAAATATATTGTAGAGAATCGAGGCGAATCAAACACAACTTAATCAAATTAATCTCTCATGGGATTAATTCACATGGCTTCAACACTCCAAGTTCTGGAGCCCACATTCCAGAGTCACGGAACGACTCCGTGCTGTCTGCAGATAAGGACTTTTATTGCCCCACAGGCCCAAGAGAGGGGCACTAAACAGGACGAACGTGTCAATATGGTAATTTTACTGAGACAGGTCAACTCCAAAATGGTGGAACGAGAGGC